CTGTTTGAAAAAAATCCTGAAGTTCAAGTTGTCACGGTGTTTTTACTAAAATATCTTTCCAATCTTCCCTAGATACTACAGCACAAGTAGATGTAAATCTTTTTTCATTCCTGGACACTGAAAATGTCATATTGATCCTCTATTATGGCATTGAACTCAGAATATTTATGTTTGTCTCCCTCACTGTACTGGAGGATTAGTGCAGCCAATGCCTTGGACCTCAGCCTTGTTTATCTTGAATATTATCTTACACCTTCTCAAGTGCCTCAATGACTTTAAACTTACTGTGAAACAATGACAGATTATATAAATGAATAGATGAACATCAGATTCTCAGTGAATATTTCCATCAATTGGTAAAATTTTATGAAAAACCCTTCAATAAAATCTGATGTTTACTACAAAATAGAATGAATAATTACAATAACTTTTAAAACCATATATTGTATGACTAAGAGAAAAAAGAATTTCAAATTGGCAGATATCCTTATTTACCAGTCAGAACAGTGAATGAGTTTCCACTAGGGTGGAGAAAATGTTACTGCTAATTTCATTGTGATATTTGATTGACTCACTATTAGGTTTCCTTTCATAATCAGAGGAAGAGACATCAATCAAAATGCTCACCCAGGCATGACAACAAAGACTGTAGACTTATTTGCTTGTACCTAACAAAATATCTCTGTAGCATATACCTGGGAGGAAAATTTCCTCAGAGCAGTATCTCACTTAGCTCTTGGACTCAACAGAAACATATTCAAATGTTTAAGAAACATTTCCAGAAACATGGTAGTATTCTATTCACCTGCATTTTAAAATTACTTCCTATATAACACTCATACCTCATTTGGGTTGTGATTGTTTTTAGCCTGGCACACAAAACTAAAAACATTATGCATATGCAAAATGCCACATTTCTATTCTATGAACCATCAAATTATTTAACACTCATTGAGTTTATTTATCCAGAAAATAAGTAGAAATGTTAGCTTTCCATTGAGTCATTGATGTAACTATTTTTACATCAATGTCACACTTAAAGGGGCATGACAATGACATAACATTTTGAATTTTTCACTCAAATAACATTAAATCATTTTGTCCTGAAAGAAGTGAAAGATAATTTGGATCTAGATAATTTACTTATTTATATATATCCAAGGATTTCTATGTTTATCCCATTCCCCCAAAAAGGAAAATTTTCTGATAACTTTGTATTAATTTAAGTGTAACTATTTTCTCATTCAAGAACATTTAAAAAAAAAAACCAAAGCAAATTCGAGTTTTGAAGGCAATTATATTTCAGTGGACACTTCAGGGTTAAATTTTAATTAAAAGGACTTATGAGTCTCAATAACTAAAGTAACAGAAACACTGAATTTATCAATTAAATTCTTCCTAAATTATACTAAAGAAAATGCAGAGGAAGTGGCCAAACATTTGGTTGTGAAAGGTGTTTGGCTATGAGCAAAATAAAGATTCAAACAAACTTTGCAAAAGCAAACATGCAACCTCATCCCTCCTGTGTCTCTCAGAAAGTCTGTTATGAGAATATTGTTGAACTTGAAACTCCTCAGAACAATATTCTAACAGATAGATCAGTTGGAAGCTCTTTACGATAGCATCTGCTCTGTGTTTATAGCTACATATGTAGACTACTGCAAACCCTCCATGCACCATAAATGTAGGAAACTACACACTCAGAATGATAATAAAGTCATCGGGTGATGCATTCTCTAGAGTTTTCAACCTCTTGCTGCAGTTGGCACAACTCTGTTAGATTTTTATTGCAGCAGAAAAAATTAAATTGTTTGGGAATTTTTCTAACTTTGGGAATAAACCAAGAAAACATAAAATGGCAATAAAGGAAGGCAAAGACATAGGCACTGAGATTGTTGTAATATTTTAAAGTTACAGTTTCACAGAGAGCTCCAGCAGAACCAAGAGCAGAATAAATGATAACAATGAGTAAACAAATTATTGTTTTCCACAAAAGTTCAGCTCCAAATGCCCTCCGTGGGTGAACTCAGACGTGTCAAGCATATTGGAGAAGCTATAAGTTGTACTATGAATGTTGTGTGTTGTAATCATCAATTAGAACTAGATTTCTTAACATAATAATTAGATAATGTTAAATTATAATTAATAGTTAAAACAATTTACTGGTGAAACCAGCACTTTCAAGACAACCAATACAGTTAATTTAAATTCAGTTGCTTTTTCTCTCAAATACAAGATCCCAAATGAAGTTAATTTCTAAACTGAAAACAATCTAGGAGATTTTCTCAGATTATAAGGAAAGCACGTCAGGTGTGGGAAGAGGGTGAAAATATATAACACTGTCTGGCTGCTTGGGAGGGGCAAGGCATCATTAACATAATGTCAAGTGGTCCCATCTCATCTCAGCATTAGGCCTGCAGACTACTCATCAGCCACAGTTCTCTAGGGCAGGTACCCGTGTCCATCTGTACATAAAACCACTGGGAGATCTTTCCTGCACTCCCATGTTTGGGCACTAATACAATATAACATAATTCTTGAAGGCCTCAAAAGAAAAACCTTCGGAATGACTAATGATCTAAATCATAAGGAAGTTGCTGAAGAACCAAAATAAAGACAGAAAAGTTATTTGTGTGGTGTCAGATGCTGGTGGATGGTGGAATGGAACCCCTGCAGCCTCTGTATGTGATGCCACAAAGGGAATACCTGACTCCCTAGGGCCTGTCAGTTCAGTGTGTCTTCTTTCGTTTCATTTTGCCTTCCTTCATTCCTTCCCTATGAATGAAAATTGCCATGATGCCATTCCATATGAGTATACTGCGGTCAGTGGGCTATTGTTTGCTTGTTCATTGTTTGTTAAGTTCATTAATTTTAAGTATACAAAATGATCACATTCATCATACGGAATTTGTATTGGTGCATGATGTAACTTGATACTTCTTTTTTCCATTCTCCTACTTTCCCTTCAACCCCTCCTCCCCTCCTTAATTACAAAAGCTTTGTTTCCTTTTTTTTCTCATTTTTTTCTTTGCCTTTTCTTCCTTACCGCATTCTCCCTCCCTAGTTTCCCTTCCCCTTTGAACATTTTCTTCCTATTTCACATTATGTATTACACATTTTGGTCCAAACGGATGCACCTTGAGACCATACTTCTACGTGAACTAGCTAAGACATGCAAGTATAAATCCCACATGCAAGTATAAATACCACATTGTTTCTCTGGTGTAAGAAACCAAAAGTGTAAATAAGAACCAAAATATTTAATTCACTTCATGACAAGCTTTTTTCTTTTGTGTTCTATGTTAGCTCCCTGCAAGAAAGAATTGCCTAGAATGAAAAACTATGGCAAGCAAATTTTATGATCAGGATCCTCTGAAGAACTGGAAATTGATATGGCAAAAGTAAACCCCAATTATCTGACTTCATCAGATAAAACAGGCACACCTTTGCTTGAATAATCACTTTATGAATTTCAAAGATATGTTTTCCCAAAGATTTACCCGATCCACAAATTATATGATTTATGTAAAAGCTGCCCATGTGTCTGCTTGGCACATAAAGAAATAAAGCCCAGGATTTCAAAGCACATAGATTTTTGGACATACGTTAAAAAATAATCCATACCAGTTTAAGACCTAGGGAAAGAATGGTTAACTGGAATTATATTTAAAAGCTACAAAAATTAACAGTGGTTTAGTTTCTTCACCTACAAAGTATAGGAAAATACCAGCCATCCTCCTTACCTTTCTGGTTCTCGCAATATTTATAAAATTATAGATATGGACAAAGGATGTGGCTCAGTGATAGAGTGCTTGCTCAGCCCTGAGTGTTTGACCTTCAGGTACACACACACACACACACACACACACACACACACACATGCAGTGTATGTATAACAATTATCCTTAAAATTTTTCACTTTTAAAGGATTATTTCAAACAGTAAAATTAATCCTAGTGGTGAAGCTTTTGAGTAGCTCAATTACCTTTAGAATTTTAAAGTATCCATGTCATCTAAAAATTGTAAATATATAAAGTTTGCTTTCTTGAGTCTTAGAAATATGGCAACATGCAAAATTTTAACTCATTCCTCTTTCTAAAGCAGAATAAAGAAAAAAGAGGGAAGTGTTTTTAACACCAACTAATCAGAAGAATTACCAGAATATAAATCATCTGGACTTTGATGCTTACATTGACTCTCAAGTTTGGGGCTCGTCACGTTACCAGTTTCTTATTTTCCTTGATACTTTGTACTAAGAAATCATTTAAAATGTGACCTAGTGGTGGGGTAGCCCAATTAACGTGGTGTGCCGCAGAACATCTTCATTACAGCATCAATTAAAGTTTAATAAATAAGAGGCTCTGATAATGTACTTAAAAGGTCTGATTTCAGGACCTACTCGCCACACAGCTGCAGCCCAATTTGGAGCTGCTCTTTCACCAGGTGTTTCATTTCCTTGCGCTCTACTCCAGATTAGCAGTGATGTGGTTCCAGGATGATAGGAATAAACTAGAAGCTATTTTCAGCCATGGTCTAAACTATAAATTAGAAATAGTGCTTGCATCATTGACCGCAGAGGTGGTTTGATCATCTGTAGAGCAAGGATCCGCGTAAACAGAAAAGACACCTGCAGAAATGAAATTTGAGCTTCTAGATAAAAATAAGAATATACAGAGCTCGTTGTCGCTCCAGACTCCTTGCACTTTGATAGGGATGAATAGAAAGAGGACATTTAGTGTTACAGCCTACTGCACTATGACATGAGATTCGAAAAAGGGAGGGAAAGTTAAGAAGGGAAGAGAAAAGCTTTGAGGAAGTAGAAGTAAATAATTTAGTAAATAGGAGACAGGGAAAGGAGGAAGAGAAAGGAGGGAGAAGAGGAGAGGGAGAAAGAGGAGGAAAAGGATATGGAGGAAGAAGAGGAGAAGGAGGAAGAAAAGAGTGGGAGGAAGGAAAGGAAAGAAATAGGAAGAGAGACAAACCCAGGTCAGATAACTCACTTGGCATTCCCTGCCCCTGGCTTCTTTCTTCGGAAAATGTTGAGGAAAGTGTTGGAGCGGCAGGGCAGCTTGCCATCGCCGACGTGCATGCGGACTACATCAGATGTGGTGAAGGCACTGCGGACGTTCCTCTCGGGCTTGGCAATGATGATGTACATCTTGGGAGTGAACATGCACCCCAGGGCCACGGTTACACTTAAGCTCACTGCGAAGCAAGTAGTGATGATCTTGTAGTTGCTCCCAAAGTAAATGGGCACAAAAGCAAGCCAGATGATGCAGGTGGTGTACATGGTGAAGGCAATATATTTAGCCTCGTTGAAATTGGCGGGCACATTGCGGGTCTTGAAGGCATAGTAGGTACAGCTCATAATGAGAAGTCCATTGTAGCCCACAGGGGCCACCACACCCAAGTTGCTGGTGTTGCAGATAAGATAGACTTCCTTGATACTTGGGTAGGACAGAATGGGCATGGGCGGCTCCATGATAATCAAGGTTACCACCAGGGTCAGCTGCACACTAATCAGAATGGAGGCAATAATCACCTGGGCCCAGGCACTCATGAACCTGGGCTTCCGGGTGCAGATTTTCTTCTTGCTGCCTGCCAGGATACGCGCAATGCGATTGGTCTTGGTCACTAACGCCGAGTAGCACATGGCAGAGGAGAGGCCAACTAGCAGCCGCTGGAGGTAGCAAGACGTGGTGGTAGGCTTGGCAATGAGAGTGAAAGGGCACACGTACCCAAGGAAGATGCCAGCTAAGATGATGTAGCAGAGTTCCCGACTGGAGGATTTCACCACAGGTGTGTCCCGGTACAGCACAAAGATAAGTGTGACAAACAGGGTGACAAGGATGCCCAGGCAGGAAAAGGCGATGGCGATAATAGACTCTATGTTGCTCCATTCAAGATAGCGGACTGGAATGGGTTCACAGCCTGTAATGAGAAAAACCATGTAACATGAATCTGAGATTCTTGCTAAGTAGTAGTGACAGTGCTTGCTCATAACTAGAAACAAAGCTGCAGCCACAACCTTCATGACTGACAGTATTACACAAGCAAAGGTATGCCATCGTCCTCGACGGGCAATCACTATGTCCCCAAACCTAGTCTCATTAAAAGCCCAATATGAGATGTAGTTGAACCTGAAAGTTATCTTTTCTGTCAACACCAGCATTAAAAATAAATGTTGCTTTCTGAATGAAATTTAGTTCTACATTTTAAAAGAAAGAAAGAAAAAAAAATGACCTGCATTTCCGGTGAAGGTTAAGTGAGCATAATTTTTTTTTTTAGAACAAGTTACTAAGAAACATACAGCCATCGTCTGCAAGCAAGTACAGTTCCTAGACATGTATATTTTTGGCCAGCAGAGTATTTTACAAGAAATTTTAGTTTTCCTTTTGTAGAGGATTCTGTATTCTCCTGTTCACTTAAAATTGTACTTAAGGGACTGGGGATTTAGCTCAGTGGCACAGCGCTTGCCTGGCAAGTGCGAGGTCGTGAGTTTGATTCCCAGTACTGGAAACCCCCCCACAAAAAAATAAAATTATACTTGAATTTATACTTAAAATCCCTGTAGTCATGTCTGATCTGTATCTGGCATGTGTAGACCTTTGAGTTAGTAGCTAATAAAGGCTTGGGTAGATACTTATAGGGGCTTTAAATAGCAAAGAAAAAAGAAAATCTCTCCTTACTCATCTTTAGAAGAGAGATTAGAATTGTGTTCCTAAACATCTCATTTCTACTTTCTCTCTAGATGCAGAATAAAATCTGTTTTGTATTTCAGGGTAAGGGAGAATTTCTTCAGGCTCTGGAGGCAAACCCTTCAAGGGATTTTGTATTTGATCTGAACCAGCATTTCCCAAATTGTGAGAGCAAAAGAATTTCCATAAATTTAAGAAAAAACTCATTGTTCTATAGCTCTAAAAGCAAGAAAACTCCGGAATAGGTTATTCTAAATTTTATTTTATTGAACAAAAGGTAAAACAAAATTTCATAGGAAAATAACAATAGTTAATACATTGCAAGTTGGCATCTTCAAAGTAGTTACTCGGAGTACAAGATATGGGCATAAAAATTTCTCCAGTTGCTATTACCACAAACCTTCCTTTTCAATGAACTGAGAGACAGAATGGGTTTCAAGCCTGTTCAGTCAACCAACCCTAATCCTTCTTAGAAGCACGTTTCTGCATGCCAAACAGTAAGTGTTAGCCTTCACATCTGATGATCACCCAGCCAGATAAACTCACTTCAGTTAATGACTGCCAGAGTCTTAGTTTTCTCTAGTTGCCTGGACAAAATACCCAACACCCAAAGTTGAAGGATTATTTGGCTCACAATATGTGAAGGTTTCAGTCCATAATTAGCTGGCTCCAAGGCAGGGTGGCATGGCAGATAAGCCTTGCAGAGGAGAAACATTGATGGTGGGTAGAAGCAATAAAGGGTAAGGCAAACCTCTTTCCGTCCCTTGTATATATCCAGGCTACCGGGATTAGGGTGGTACCAAACCAGTCAGTGGACTGATTTAGTAATCATCCACCTTTAATCCTAGCACCCTTAGTCCTAGCATTGCACCTTGAATCAATCACATACTTCCGATTCAGCCACCTGTGAGAAAGCCTCACCTACAACTGTACGAGGCTTTGTGGGTCATCTAAACACAACTCATAACAGCCAGCCAGCCAAGAATAGTCTCGCTGAGTATTACAATTCCACAGAGGATGTCAACCAGCTCCTTCTCTGAAAGCTCATCAATCCTTAGCCCTCACATTCGAAAAAGTTCACACAAGAGCAACAATCTCCTCTGCTCAGAGAAAATTTATGGAACACAGCCATCCCTTGTGACAGTAAACAATGAATTCGGCTTTTATATTTTATTTTTGTTTTTTGTTTAATTTCACACACAGTTGTCTCTCAGTATCCATGAGAAACTGGTTCCAGTACCTGATTGGCACTGATTCCAAAATTTGCAGACCGGGGCTGGGGATTTAGCTCAGCGGCAAAGCGCCTGCCTGGCAAGCGCAAGGTCGTGAGTTCGGTTCCCGGTACCGGAGGAAAACCAAAAAAAAAAAAAAAACAGAATTTGCAGGTGCTCACTGCCTTCTATAAAAGTTTACAGTATTTGCATATAAACTACATACAACCTTTTGTATGCTTTGAATCACTGCCTAATGACTTCTACTGTCTAATGCAATGTGAATAGTTGTTGCATGGTATTGCTTAGGGAAACAATGACAAGAAAAAGTCTCCATGTATTGGGTGTAGACACAACCGTCATAGTCCTTAGTACATAGTACATGTTTTTTTTTTAAAAAAACTAAAGCATTTTCCCTAGTATTTTTCATCCACAGTTTCTTGAACCCAGTGATATGGTAGGCTAATTGTATTTAGGCTCACCATCTTTCAGATTTCTAGGGATTTCAAGATCATTGGAAGACCTTCACACTGGTAATATTTCTGGAAACGTTGTGACCAACAGGCTCCCTGGGTTCCTCAGGCCCAAACTGTCCATTATGCGTACTACACTCAAGGCAGTCTCAACAATTTGTTAGCTCTGGCTAATTTTGCTGAGCTCTTTTTTGCTAACTTTAGTTATCCTAGGATTTGTAATTGCGTTTGTCTTGGTATAAAGTCTTTAAACTTAACTCTTCATGTAATTAACCTACCTTTATATTTAAGTATTATAACTTTTGATTCTGAGGTGCTCTGTTTACCCGCTAGACATATTTTTATAAAGTCAACAAACATTTTGCTTTAGATATATACAATTTGCTAAATAGTATTTTTTCATATCTGTATGTTCCTCTGCCAGTGTGTGTGTGTGTGTGTGTGTGTGTGTACTTCTGTTTACCCATAAGTCCTTCTTATTTTGTGTGGTTTCTCAGGTTTGAGATGGTTTTGATTTGTGTCATCTTTTTCTGTTCATTGTATAAAGTAGGTCATTGAGATCAGAGAAAAGCACAGGCCTAGGAAATGTCCAGTCCAAGGTGGCCAATACATTGTTTGGAAGGTGATCTGTTAAAATGGTGACCAGTTTTAAAAAGTGATCACTTTCAGGTCCTTTAGAAAATCTCTGTAAGTTTACTTCTCATGTTGTGATATTATACAGGATCATTTTGGGGGCTGAGGATTTAGCTCAGCAGCACAGCACCTGCCTGGCAAGTGTAAGGTCATGAGTTCGATTCCCGGTACTGGAAGAAAAACATAAAAACAAACAGACAAACAAAAAGGGGATAACTTTGATAAGTGATTTTATACTGTCTTCCTACAGTTGTTTTCTTTTGGGAATGTAAGACATTCTTCATAAATGTACATGTTTGACTGGCCTTATTCTTTCCTATGTGAGGAGTCTGTGTGAGTCTCCTCCTCCTGGAAGAATCTGTGCTAGGATTTCAGGTGTAGGCTACCACACGTGGCCTAACCCTAAATCTTTTTGTTTCTCTGATAAAAGCTAGCTAGATGATTTACAGATGATAGGTAGGCAGATAGATCGATAGATTTAGAATAACAATGTGGACTTGTGATACGACAAAATAAATATATTAAAATATTTCAGAAATGCTGTACACAAATTAGGAGATAAAATACCAAATAGTCGATAGTCAGCTGTTTTAATTGGCATACCAAGGCTTGAAAAATATGAAATTCAAATGTAACATTTTTCCTGGCTTCTGTAACCTCCTAAAAATTACTGTTTCTATTTCTTTCACTTCACATGGTGATTATGTCTGACTATCTAAATGATCATCTCTGTCCTCAGAGGGCTCATTAGAAAAGAATACTATTTTTTCAACATTTCCAGAATCTGAGTCACATTATAGAGTTTGAATTAAAAGCCTGGTCTAGACCCAAATTAGGAGCTATATTTAATGATTTTGCTAAACTACGGGGGCAAAGGACAAACTATGCACAATAGAATTCAATATTTATATTTGATAGTGTTCTGCATTACAAATATGTTACAGTTAATGAAATTAATTGTTTAAAAATAGTAGAGAGAAGATATGAATAACCCAACAGTATTAAAATTTTAAAATCCTATCAACTTCGCTATATTCCACAGACTAGAAGATACTACATAAAGCATTTCCAGAGGCTTTTCCTTTCATAAATATTCAAAATTGCAAACTAAATAAAGAGAAAAAGTAAACTTAAGGAAACTTTCAAGTATTTCTGGAGTTGACTCCAGAAAAGGTTCTCCTCTGCATATAGGCTGAGGCCTGAATTAGTGGAATAAAAAATATTAAAAGGTAAAATTGTCATTTAAAAAAATATGTGATATTTTACTACATATTTCCAGATGACTGAAAAAGTGAATAAACTATATGAATCAATATGATTATGAGCCTTTAGGTAAACTAATTAAAATAGTCTCTGTCTCCTATAGGGAAGAAATCTTAAAATAACACTGTCTGTAGATACACAAACAGAAGTATTGTTTAAAGAACATTGGTCAAAACCCAGCAGAGCAACTATTCAAAATCTGTCCAGTGATTTACCTCTTTAGGAGACACCAGCATCATGAATTCCTTGTTCTTCCTCTGAACTCTGATTTTTTGTTTGTTTGTTTGTTTATTTTTCTTCCGGTACCAGGAATCGAACTCATGACTTTGCGCTTGCCAGGCAGGCGCTTTGCCGCTAAGCTAAAACCCCAGCCCCTCCTCTGAACTCTCAAGGGAAGCAATATTTCTCCCAATGGCAGCATTATTTATTTCTACTATTAATACATCATCAGATATGCTGGTTTATTCAGACTATTCAAAAAGTGAAAACAATCTTATGTCTCAACCTGTAACTAATACTTCAAGATTATTGAAAGAATATTTCTCCATTCTCTGTGATAACCACCCCTCCATACTCAATGGATAGGATCTATTTCCAGGTGAAATGAACAGTAGTTCGTACATATGAGCAAATTATATAGCTGCTCCTAGAAA